AAAAAAGAAACTGTACAGACATTGGCTAAAATCATTGAAAACGCACCTCAGCTATTCAGTGCCAATATGCAAACACTTGCAGCCGGATTGAGCCAAAATAGTGGCCAATTTAAGGAGTATTTGGAGCATAGTCATCAACACGCCGAATATTTGAGCAGTGGTGTACGGAAATTGGTAGCTATCGGTGATACGATGTCCCAAATTAAGGCTGTCATTCAAGAGGAAATGGAGGCTGAAGATAGCTCTGATCAAGGCCACTCGCCGTCGAGTGAATGATTTTTGGTTGGATACAATATGTAGCTTAATTTATGTATTTAACAATTTAAATTTTAAACTTATCAGTAATTACATATTTGAAATAGTATTCAATAAATATGTTATTAAATTCATGAAGCTTTTAGTACGCGCAGACTGTGCATTTGCAGTGGGCGTGCCATTTGAAAAAATTTCTTGATTTTCGCGTATGTAATTAAGCTCCTCCAGGTTGCTAAGAATCGTTTGAAGTTTCGCTTCTTCTTCAACCGTCAGGGCTTGTTCTGCATTACTGGTGGTTGGCCGCAATTTCTCCAACTGCTTTCCAAATGCACACAATTGATCGAGCTTAGTTTCATATGAACTTGCAAACTCTAGTTGCTGTACCTCTGCCAAAAACCGTTTGAGCTTTTGCTGAAAATTTCTAAAGTTATTGTAGATTTCAAAGGCTGTAGGCAGCTCTGCAGTGTTACGCATAATATTCTGTAGTGAGGTGCTACAAGGTGATTGCTCACGCGAGTTGACCACAGTCATATCACGCGCCAAAGTACAATTCATGCGCTGCTGCTGTTCTCTTGTTGAGGGGCGCTTTGGTTTTTGCAAATTGCAAGGATATTCCTCGAATGCTTTGAATATGTCCGCGAAATCCGCCACAGTCGGATTATCTTTCGAAGGAGTAATTTCCGCGTTTATTTCCTTTACCTCACGCTGATAACCCTCATAAAAGTCTGCCAAACTGATTATTGAAGTTTTAACTCTATTTTCTTTGATGTTTTTCTCATGTTCTTTGTGATTTTTGTATATATTTTTGGATATCTGCTCGAAATCGTCAACTTGTGCCATTTTCGATGAATTTGCAATTTGAAAATTTTATTTTATGATCGTTCACAATAGAACCTAAAAAATAGTGGGATATAGATGAGAATATTCAGAGTTGCCAGCTCTTGATGGCCAGAGAATATCAAAATCAGTTCCTTTCAAGACATAATTTGAGGTACAAATCTTCGGTAAAATATAGTATAGTATATCTGCATGCTAATTCCGCGGAATTCGTATGTATCTATTAACCGTACTCAGACTGAATGGTGAGTGCAAATTGCCCTTTATTTGGTATAGAGCTTCCATGGTACCAAATTCGGGTATCGACCAATACTGAAATCAAAATTTAATTTTACTAAAACGAAAATATCAGTTATTCCTAAATCAGTATACCTGCATCCCCGGGCTCTACATAAAAAGAAAATGATTGACAAACATGATCACATTCAGGAGTTGGTGCCACGATCCAACTTTTGTTGCCTTGAAGCTGAGCTT